ATTAACAAACATGGAGACCAAGTGGCTCTATATCCAGAGCTATCTTTTCTGAGTGGGGTTCTGTCAAACTCACTGAGCTATAAAGTTGGACAGGTTCAGCAGTAGCCAATTGTAAGATGGAAGCGTTATATCCTGGATCAGGCCAAAGCAGACACAGCAGGTATGGTTGAGGTACATGGCCAGGTAGCCCATGCCACCTCGTCTCCCACAAGAGTTACACCAGTGGCCCTCCCAGGCTTGTGTCTGGGTGGGGAGAGCATGTGGCCAGTTGAAAAAGGAGGAACTAGCCCAAGCTTTTTCAATGGATCTGCTGCCATTGGCATGGGGTAAAAAGCAGCGCCGGAGAGCAGCTGCATCACAGCCCCCTTCAGAGGAGACCCCAAAAGACAGTGAGAAAGAAAATAACATTTTCAGCAGGCAAAGCAGCAAGCAGGGCCCTTATTCACTCTGAATGGAAAGAAAATGTGGGAACCTATACCAATTCCTGGGTCAGGCAATGGCCAATGACCTTGCTGTAGATTGAATTGTGTCTCCCCCCACCCCACCCCACCCCATTACATGTGTTGTAAATCCTAACCCCTATACTTGTGGTTATAGATCCCACTTGGGGATGGGTTTTGTTTGCCATGTTCGTGAGACAGCGTTAGTGTGCTGTCTATCTTAAGTTAAGCTCCTTTAAGACATAAAAGAAATTAAGGAAGCACTAGAGCGAGATGAGATGAGCAATGCCAAGAAGAGAGATGCCAACTCACGTGCAGATCACCCAGGAGCAGAAGCTCGAGAGAAACAAGGACCTCCTTCCAGAACTGGCAGAACGACAGCGTTCGCCTAGAGCTGGTGCCCTGAACCCAGAGTCCTAGCCTCATGATGAATCAGAATTGACTCCAGGACAGGTGTGTCGCTTTGTTCTGAAACGGAGAAAATAGATTCCTGTGTGTTAAAGCCGCCGGTGTGTGGTATTTCTTTGAGGGCAGCACTAGGTAGCTCAGGCTTGGTACATTGGGTAAGACAGGCTGGGTCATCTAGTTAGAGATCTGGAAGGACGAGGACGGGCACATCAGAGACAAGGAGCGCTCTGCTGGAGGCACATGGGATTAGGCATAAAAGGTGAACATCTGGGCATCACCTGTTCATGTCATCAGAAGGCATCCACCACGAAAGAGCCAATGACAAAGAAAAAATGACTCAGTGGATTTAGCTCGCCTTTGTCATCAGAATAAATGGAGAGAAGAACGAAGTTGTCAAGGATTTCATCTCGCTTGGATTTACAGTCAGTGCTCATGGAAGCAGGAGCCAAGAAACCAAACGACAGATTGCATTGGGCAAATCTGTTACACAAGACCTCTTTGAAGCGTTGTGAAAAGCCAAGCTGTCACTTTGAGGACCATGGTGCACCTAACCCAAGCCATTTCAATGTGCCCATATGCATGTGAAAGGTGTACCTTGAGTAAGGAGGGCCAAAGAGGAATCAATGCATTTGAATTATGATGCTGGCGAGGAAGATGAAAATATCACGGACTGCCAAAAGAATAAACAAATCTGCCTTGAAAGAAGTCCGGCCAGCGTGGTCCCTGAATGCAAAGACGGTGAGACTTCATCTCATGTACCTTGGACATATTTATTAGGAGAGACCAGTTCGTGGAAAGGACACTATGCTCGGTAAAGTGGAGCAGCAGCCAAAAAAAAGGAAGACCCTCCGTGAGATGGACAGACATGGTGGCTGCAACTATAGACTCAAACATAGTAACAATTGGGAAGATGGCCTAGGTCCGGCAGTATTGCATTTTGTTTTTCATAAGGCCGCTGAGAGTGGAAACCAACTTTGTGGCACCTGTGATAGGTAGCTTTATTGTGCCCACCTGGTCAATAGGAACATGTGGGATTAATAAGGTCGCTGTTTGATTGGAGTGCAGAGATAAATGGCTCAGCAAGGCCCGCCCCTCGCTCTCTTGTTCTCTGGTGATCGTACCAGCATGCAGCTGCTTTAGCTAGTTCTCTGCCTCAACTTGTTGGCTACAAGTTGTTAGTTACCTGTGGGACTGCCTACCCGTGGATCCAGTTGCTAGAGCTTGAGGATCCTTTAAGACCTGCTTCCCCACACTGCTGATGTTCACAACGCTTGAGCTTGTTGGTGACCCACCCTGCTGTTTGCTGCCTGTGGCTGTATTGCCTGCATTGCCTGAGGGAAGACTCAGCTGGCTGCTTCCTTGACCTTGGACCCAGTGACTCTTGTGAGTTGAAAGACTTCCAGTATATTAACTGTTCCACTGAAGTGAGTTGAACTGAGCCCTCTCTACTGCTATGTGGACTAATTAGTTGTTATATTCCTTCATGCTGTGTGTATCTAAACATATATATAATCATAAGAGGCCTGGTTTTGTTTCTCTAACACAATTGGTAGTGGGAGTGTTTCTAGAGAAACAAGATCATAAATATGGGCTTCTGAAATTGGCCCTCCAGTCTGATTAGGCTAACAGCACTGATAATGCCATCTCTGCCCCTAAAGGGCAGAGACTCTTACTAGAGTGGGGGGTGTTCATGCACGGTGTGAAATCGCAAAGCTAATATCCACAGTATCACCACCAATAGATGAAGTGCTGGTGAGAGGAGAGGCTCTGGGTGATCGTGTGTTTGATATTTCCCAGCGGTTTTGTCAGGTTGAGAAGTATAGGGAGGCTGGTTGGTTGGTCCTCCTTACAATAGAAATGGTGATCAAGGAAAGGGATAATCTCAGAACCTCAGAAGCGTGTATCTCAAGTGCTGAATAACAGACCTAAAAGCTTCTGCATGTGCTACAAAGAAGAGTCTTCTCCCCTCTAGTAATAGAGCTGACATTGCCGAAAACCAAATCCAGTCTCTTCATGCGAGTAGCTGAATTACAGCGTCAGCTGAATTGCAGGTCTAGAACAGAGTCTGATATTAAAGTAAGGGCATTAATCAGAAAGAATTGGGACCCTGAAACATGGGATGGGAACATATAGGCTGATGACCCAGAAGAGGAGGATATTGAGCCCTTAGAGTTGATTGAGCCACCCCAGTCAATAGGTTCAATCACTCCTCCCACCTGAGGAGATTAATCCACTATTAATAAAACAAATCACATTTGGTCACCTTAACCATATTGTTCAAGCTGAAATGCCAAGGGGAGCTGCATCTGGAGCATTGCCTGAGTTATGAGATATTGCTGAGAGCCCCCAGGAAATACCCCCACCACCCATTATTTCCTCTAGACCTGTATCTAGAATTCTCAGAAAGTTCCTAAAGGTGAGGTTCAAATGATGACTCAGGAAGAGGTGTGCTATACTCATAAAGATCTGCTTGAGTTTTCTAATGCATACAAGCAGAAGCTTGGGAAATATCCCTGGGAATGGTTTGTAAAGGTGTGGGATACTGGTGCAAGGAATGTAATATTAGACCAGTCTGAGTTTCTTGATATGGGGCCCCTAAGCACAGATTCTTCCTTCAGTGTCTCAGCAAGAGAGGTTAAGAGAGGATCTAATTCCTTATTTGGTTGGTTCACTGAAGCATGAGCTGCCAGATGGCCTAGATTAGACCAATTTAAGGTACCTGACCTACCTTGGTACACTAGAACAGTGGCTCTCAACCTTCCTAATGCCGTGACCCTTTAATACAGCTCCTCATGTTGTGCTGACCCCCAACCATAAAATTATTTTCATTGCTACTTCATAACTGCAATTTTGCTACTGTTATGAATCATAATGTAAATATCTGATATACAGGATGTATTTTCATTGTTACAAATTGAACATAATGAAAGCAAAGTGATTAATCACAAAAATATGTAATTATATATTGTGAAATATTTATTTCTAATTACAAATAAATGAAATTTTGTCTTGAAGCATGGTGTAGCATGGGTAACAGTCTGCACGCTGGGTAACTCGTAAGATGGGAAAGTTGTTCTCTCATAAGGTTCCCTAGTTCTTCTGATGGCTCAGATTTGGTCTTTTTCAGGGCTACTTTCTTTCTTTTTTAAAAAAATCATTTTATTGGGGCTCATACAACTCTTATCACAATCCATACATCCATCCATTGTGTAAAGCACACTTATACATTCGTTGCCCTCATCATTCTCAAAATTCGCTTTCCACTTGGATTACTGGAATCAGCTCCTCAGCAGGGCTATTTTCTTATAAGATTATTCTCATCTATATATTTTTCCTTAGAATTAAGTACAAATCTCTTACAAATCCACATTTTTTCCATATCTACAATCCCACCCCCACTTTACAATATTTTGTTTTGCTTTTTAATCATGGCAAGTATACTCATATCCCACACCCCCACGGCCCACCGCATCTCTATTTTTTTTGGTTTCTTTTATTAGCTTGACTTTTCTTCCTGAACCCTTGGATTTAATAATCCGTTGATATCAGTTTTCTTTTCTTTCATTGCGATTCCTTTACTAGCCCTTTGAGTTGGATGTTTAATTTACTGTCGCTGTGAATGTTCTTATGAGCCCTGCTTTAGCTATATCAAATCAACATGGACAACTCATATTTCAATTGTCTGTGTTCTAGATCTTCTCAATTTCGGTTTTGATTTCTTCTTTACCCCAAGAACCAATTAAAACAGTTTTGACTTTTCCCATGTCCCTCCTCTCCTTGCTGGTGGCTTTCATGGTAAAGGTCACAAGAGGGATTCTTCCGCTTCGCAGCGGCCGGAGCGCAGGCACCGCCGGGCCACGGAAGGAACAGCGACCAGAGCTCTAAGGAAGTTCAGGGTCGAGCAAACCCCTCTGCACGTCAACTCAGAACCCGCCGGCTGAAGACCCGAAACACACCCCCGCGAGCGCGCGGTCTGATTGGCCAATCGCTTCCACTGGGGCGCGGCTCTTTACTCTGATTGGTTTTAGCGGAGACGCCCCCATCCGAATGCCGAGCGTGATTGGTCTTGGCTTGACACGAAGCTCGACGGTGGCCCGTGGAGGTCAAGATACTTGCAGGGCAAAGTTTTTTGTTTTTTTTTTTTTCTTCTTGCGGTGGATGGCACAGCTGGTGTGCTCCTGAGAGGAGAGCCGCTGGCCTGGGAGCCATGTCGGCGGCTTCGGCTGTGGCCGTGCTGCTGGTGGCGGTGGAGAGGAACCGATGGCAGCGCCTCCCGAATCTGCTCCTTGCGCCGAGGTAACGACGGTGGAGGGGCGGCGGCTCTGTGCTTCGGGGTGCGGGTGGATGGCCTCGCGAGCTCCGTGCGAGGTGCGTGCGGGAGAAGAAGCCGCGATCGGGGAGGATGGAAGGGGACGGAGAAAAATCCCTGCCTCCTTGGGGGTCTCTGCTTTCCATCGCGATCCCCTCGGCTTTGGGGAGCCGCGATCCCCTCCTGGTCGCCGGCAGCCGCCGCCCTACCGGCGTCGGCTCAGACCCGAGCGGTTCTCGGGGTGCTCACAGCGGCCCCCATGGTGGGAGCCTTGCACCAGCCGATCATTCGTCCGATGGCCAAAGTGGCGGAGCAGCTCGCCCAAGGTGAACGCAAGTGCGAACAAACGGGGCCAGAACCTGCCCCAGGCCTGTTCCAGCTCCGCTGTCCCGGTCTCACGCCCCGCTTCAGAGAAAGACTCCGCGACGCAGTCCTCCTTGGTGGAAGGAATGACGCTAACAGAAGCGTGGGCAGCTTCCAGAGAGCTCCAGAATTGCTTTTGCCAAAAACCTATTGCATTCAAGTTCGAACACGACTATCAGATAGGTGACTCACTAGCTAATTCCACTCCAGATCCTTTTCCAAGGTTGAGCATCAAGCTTCAGTGACAATAACTTTAGTGATTGGCCTTCCAGGTATCAGGTGTCTCTCTCTCTGCTTCATCATTATCGTCATCATTTTGGAAAGATGGTACAGCTTCAAAATCAAACAAACAAAAAAATCAAACTCACTGTCATCCAATGTTTCTGACTCATAGTGACTTTACAGGACAGAGTAGAAATGCCCATGTGGGTTTCCAAGACTGTACATCTTTGTGGGGACAGAAAAACGCACCTTTCTCCGGAGGAGCAGCTGGTGGTTGGAGCTGCTGACGGTCCAGGGAGCAGCCCAACACACATGACCCACAGTACCAGCAGAGCCCTGTGGAGTAGTTCAGTGCTTCACATCTCCACGCCCCAGTTTCCTCACCTAAACAATGGACATATCCTTGCTGTTGAGGGCAGATCTGGTACCTAGGAGTCATTTCACAGGAATAGACTTTGCGTACTCAGTCTTTTAGAAGAACTCAGAAGCAGTGTGAGTTTGTGTGCTCGGGGACACTCACCATCTGCGAGTTGGGCAGGTTTTGTTGCTGTCTGTCTAAAATTGACAGGATTTCAAAGCTTTTTGTTTTTCATAATTAAGGCTGCTTCCCTTGGAGGTGAAAGCAATCTTCAAATGTTGCAGGACTTCCTTTGGAAACGATCAGGAGGCTTGAAGGTATGACTGCAAGTGCCAGAGCTAGAGCTAGTGGGGAAACCAGTTTGTTAGTGTTTTCTGGTGGGAATGTGCCAACCGAAGTAGAGGGAGTACTATAACCAACTTCTGTGCACTTACCATCCCGCTGTCTGTCTCCACTTGAAGAATGCTTGAGGCCATCGATCAATGGCCGTGCGTAATCAGTGTTAAACTGGATTTACCAAGATGAAATTATTTTGTAGACAATTTAAAAAATAGTTGCAGCAGTACATGGACAGTGAGCTGCCAGAAATGTAAGCCAAATCCGGAAGAGGGTGTGGAATGAGCATTCACATGGCTGGTGTCAGATGGATGTTAGTTGAACGTAGAGAATACCAGAAAGAGGCCTACTTGTGTTTTCTTGACTCTGCAAGGCATTCAACTGGTGAATCGTAACAAACTATGGATAACTGGAAACAGGAATTCCAGACACGTCACTGCTTGTACAGAGCCTTTACTAAGCCAAGAGGCAATAATTTTAATAGAACAAGGGACCACTGCATGGTTTAAAGTCAGGAACAATGTGTGTTATAGTTGTATCTTTTTACCATATGTATTCAATCTATATGCTGAGCAAATAATCCAAGAAATGACTCTATGAAGAAGAATGTGGCATCAAAATTAGAGGAATACTCTCACAACCTAATATGCAGATGACATACTATATATACTCGAGTATAAGCTGACCTGAATATCAGCCGAGGCACCTCATTTTACCCCAAAACTGCAGTAAAAATGTGCTGGAAAATTTGGCTTATACACGAGTATATATGATATATCTCATCATAAGGCAAACAAGAATCTTCGCAGTTGAATCAGTAAGCAATATACGATAAATGGAGAAAAAATGGACATCGTCAGGCATTTCGTTTTGCTTGATCCCCCATCAACACTTAAAGAAACAGCCACGCAGAAATCAAATGACAAGTGACATTGGGCAAATCTATAAAAGACCTTTTGAAGTGTCAAAAAATGAAGAGGTCACTTTGGGGACTAACGTGCCCCTGACCCAAGCCATGGTCTTTCCAGCAGCCTCTTATACATATGAAACTTGGATTATGTACAAGGAGGACTGAAGGCATTGATGACTTTGAACTGTAGTCTTGGTGAAGAATACCATGGACTTCCCAGAGAACAGAGAGATCTATTTTGGAAGGCATACAGCCACCATGCTCCTTAGAAGGGAGAAAGCTGAGGCTGTGTCTCACCTACGTGGGCTGTGTTATCCGGAGTGACCAGTCCCTGGAGAAGGGCATCACGTTTGGTAAAGTAGAGGGAGGACGGTCCTGAATGACACGAACTGACCGCGGTGGCGCTAACAATGTGTTCAAACCTACCAACAATTGTGAGGAGGACAGAGTGGCATCAGGCCGATGTGGGGTTTCTTTTTTTGTACATAAGGTCACAAGGGAGAACCAGCCCTTAACAGCACTCTAAAAAAACCAACGTTTCTGTTGAGTTAATTTTAGAAAGTTGTGTTTTAGGTGAAATATTACAGCACATTAGTTACCCTTGCAAGAGTGGGTACACATTTTGTTTCCTGCCATTGGTTGGAATGCCCTCCCTGGGTCCCACGTTTGCACCTGCCCTTTCCTGTGACTCTCGGCCTGCTGAACTTTGGGAGGAAATGCTGCCCTTTTGGTCTCGAATGGTTGGTTATCTTGAGGGGTCGGTTCCCCGTTGAGGGTGGTGTTCACTTCATAGGCCTGCTAATTCGCTCCCAGGGGGCAAGTGAGTTCAGGCTTGAAGGGTAGGTCTGTTGTGTCCATTCTGACTCGTGGTGACCCCGGAGACCCTGGATGCTCCTGAGTTAAACTGTGCTTCCCTAGTGTTTCCAAGGGTTGTGAGCTAATGGATGTCGATTGCCAGGCCTTCCTTCCTTGTTGCTTCTGGGGGAATTGCCAACCTTTTGGCTAGTGGTTGACCACACACCTGTGGTGCCACCCAGGGACCTTGTTTGTTCAGCAGGGGGATGATGATGACCAAAAGTTAAATGCAGATGTGACGTGACTTGCATAACATCACCAGCAGCTGGTCAGTCGTGAGCTTGAATGAGGACTTAGCTCTCCTGGCCCCCCACTCAGCCCTCTTTCAGCTCTCTGCCCTTTGCTTCTCTGGATTTCATAGCGATTGTCTTATCCAAGGAGTGAACCTGATCGGTACGTTTCCTAATTCTAGTTTGACTGGAACTTAAAGCAGACTTCTTATCGTCTCTGAACCTGATCCTGTGCCAGCCTCGGGAACGCGGATGGCCCGCAGGCTTTAGATGTTCTAGTAGCTTGTTCAAGGGCACTTGAGCCGGGGAGAAAAACCAAGAGTGTAGCTCCTGACTACCAGGTTAATTTCTGGTTTTGTTTTCCCACTGGCAAAGTTCCTTTGCTAGTTGACTCAAGGCTTCGGCAAGGTCATCTCAGGGCTTGGTTTCCTTGTTTTATAAAATTAGCTTCTTCTGAAAGAAAAGTGACTGATCTTTCCCAACCCATTTCATTCGACTTCGTGTGGATTTATTTCCTAGGAGATGGACATGGAACCGGGGAACCAGGAGGTATTCGGCCACCACAGGTACTGTGTGTAGTCTTTGTTGGATTGTTTCCAGTTGGATTCAGATTGTGAATTAAGAATGAAAGTGCTTAATCCTTTCGTCTGTGCATAAAACATACAAACATACTAAACCCACGGCCGTTGAGTCCATTCTGATACATAGGGCCTCTGTAAAATTTTTCTTCTTCTTTTCTTATTAATCATTTTATTAGGAGCTCTTACAGCTATCATAACATTGTATAATAACAATTACGTCCAGCAGTATGGTACAATTGCTACCACAGTCAGTTTCAAAACATTTTCTTTCTTCTTGAACTCCTTGATATCAACTCCCCTTTATCCACCCCCGTCTCCCACCTACCATCCTACCCCCAGGAACCCTTATTATTAGTGTTTTTCCATATCTTACACCATACAATATATCCATTTGCCTGCAATTCTGTTATTCACTTCCCTCGAGTAGGGTTATTTACACAGTCACCAATGTTATCAGCTCTCCTTTACGCTCCTTAACACCCCCCACCCCCTCTCCTGGCCCCCTTCTGATACCTTTAGGGAGCCCTTCCGCCCGCCACTGTTTCTGAAGGGTTGTCTATCTTGGCTTTCAGGTATCGAAGGATCTTAAATATACCAATGAACATATGAAACTCTAACAAGATTAATGAAACCAAGACCATAAGAGCAAGGAGAAGAAATATTAGAGAGCTAGAGGATAGTTATGTGTTTCATTAGTACTATACTGCACCCTTCCATGTGGCCCTTCTGAGAGGGACTGACCAAGTTATCTTATAGGTGGGCTTTGGGTCTCCACTATGTCCACATCCCTTCACAGCGATTTGGTTGGGTTACTTCTGAATTTCTGAAACCTATTCCCGTGGACACATCATGATCACACAGGCTGGTGTGCTTCTTCCATGTGGACTTTGTTGCTTCTCGGCTAGATAGATGCTATATTTATTAATAGCTGGGCACCTTCAGCTTTCTTTACCACATTTGCTTATATACCCATTTGTCTTCAGCAATCGTGTTGGGAAGGTGAGCATTATGCATTGCCACATTAGTAGAACAAAGCGTTCTAGTACTGAGGTAAGATTTAAGTAGAGGCCTAAAGTCCATCTGCTTCCTTGTTGTGTTTGCATATATGTACCTATATAAACGAATACACCTATGTTTCTATATATACATATGTTTCTGTATATACATATCTATGTATACTTTTTTTCCCTTTCCTTCAGCCCCACTATCATGTTTACCCATTGTTCAGCTCTCAGTAATTCCTCTCAGATACAATTCGATTGATCAAACATGACCAGAAAAACTACACCCTCCTCGCCATCAATTTTAGAACCCTTACTATTCCCCTACCCCCATCATTATATCGCGTTTCTGAGGCTGGAAATCTCTACGGGAGCAGACAGCTTCATCTGTCTCTCATGTAATTTGTGTAGAGCAGAATCAATTCTCAACTTTGATGATTTTCATGAAAATATTCTTAGTAAGAAGCCAATCATGGTTTCCACTACTTATATGAAAGTTCTATCTTGCTGATGAATGGAAATGTTTTACATTTATGTTATTTCTGTCTGGGTGACTATCTGTAGTGTTACTAACTGGGAAAAAATAACTTTAAAAAAAAAACAAACTTTGTTATCTAGTGTCCTCAAGTTAACTTTCAACTCATAGTGACCCCATTTAACAAAGTAGAATTGCCTGCTAGGGTTTTCTAGAATGTACTCTTGGTGGGAGCTGATAGCCAGGTTGTTTCCCTCACAAAGCTGCTGTGTGGGTTTGAACTGCTGACCTGTCAGTTAGCAGCCGAATGCTTAACTCTTATGCCACCAGGGCTCCTTGGGAAAAATACTATATCTAAACCAGGGTGGGCAACAGTGGCCCAAGGTCTGCATAAAGCCCGGCTAACCTTGCACACCTCGCCGCAGGGAACTAGTTCGAGCCATCACATTAGGGGTGAGTGAACGAAATGGTTGACCCATCTGGCCTGAGGATGAAGCTATAAATATCCAAATGGTCTTTGGCAAAAAACAAAACAAACAAACAAAAAAACCCCACCTACCTCTGGGCTAAATCAGTGCTTTTAAAACAAACCTTTAAAGTAACAGAATATTTTTCTAATAAAATTTTGCACAGGATTCCCAGTTACATAAAGCAGATAAACCGGTAGCTTTGGCTTGATGGGATGTGGTCCCTCCCTTCCCCGATACAAAAGTCTCATCCCAGCAGCTTGGAGCAACCGTGGATCTCTGTCAGGCTCCACTGAGAAACACGCTTTTAAATGATACAGAGAGCTTCCTTGAAGGAGCCCTGGGGACTCCGTGGGTTGGGCGGTAAGCAGCTAACTGCAAGGTTTAGAATCTCAGAAGCCCTGGATAAGGTCACTGTGAGTTGGAATTGCCTTTGTGGCGGTGGATTTGTGGGTTTGTGGTAACATGATCGTCTGCCAGCAAACATTTATTTCATACGGGATGCTCAAATGCATTTTGAATGTTAATGCGATAGCATCTCACTGTGGCATCGATGCCAGTGGGCCTTCGGTAGGTTGCCGGAGAACCACCGCTGCTGAGCATGCATGGCTGGCGTCAGGTTGCAGGGCAAGTACAGGTCCAGTCAAGGAGCGAGGCTGCCTGGGATCTGATCCTGGATCGACCACCTCTTTGGCTGTGTGATTTCAGGAAAAGAATACTTCATCCGGCTGGCATTGTCCACCTTTAAAAGTGAGATAATAACAGTGTATCTACTGTATAGAACTGTTGTGAAATTTAAGTCCATGTTGAGCCTTTAGCATAGGGCTTGGGACATAGGAAATATTTACAAAATATTCGTTACTGCTCATTGTGAGAGGATCCCTCTTGGCATAGGGTTACGAGTTGGGCTACTCATCTCAAGGTACACAGTTTGAAACTACCAGGTGCTCCTTGGGAGAAAGGTGGGACTTTCTACTCCCGTAAAGAGTCACAGTCTTGCAAAGCCGCAGGGGCAGTTCCATCCTGTCCTATAGGGTCACTATGAGTCAGCATTGACTCAATGGTATGAGTTTAATTTTTGTTTTTTTATTCATTGTTATTATTTTTTAAGCTATTGTAATTTGATCTTTGGCATAACAGAGCATCTTTTAATGAGGTCTCGATGGGCTTTTTAAACTTAAATGAAAACTCATATATTATAAGTGCTTACATTAATAAGGTAACTTGAATTTCAGCGAAGATAAATTAAATGTACTATTTAATATAGCACCGTAATTTTAGGCTCCATCCTGCTGACTTGCGCAAACAAACGTGTTCTAAATGGGTTAATGTCATAGATAGATTCTCAGCCTCACTTATTGCTCCCGGGAAAATGTATGTGTGCTTTTCATGGTGTTCTATGCAGGAAGAAGCATTACCAAGGTTCTCATTGCAAACAGAGGAGAAATTGCCTGCAGGGTGATGCGAACGGCGAAAAACATGGGTGTGCAGTCCGTGGCTGTGTACAGTGACGCTGACAGGAACGCCATGCATGTACACATGGTATGTTGCTTCAAGCTACACGCCAATCTTCGAAAGTGATTCTTTTGATTATTGTGTCAAACTGTTAGTACGTTAAATCAGCCAAGCTTGTATGTGTTAGTATCGGCATTGTGTATGTAGGTAGGTAAGGTAAACCTATTTACTGATCATTCCACTTGGGAACATTTCCCAATTACACCAGCCATTGGATTGTTTGTGTGCTTAATGGTCCAGCTGACTGAACAGGCAAAATCCTTACCTCATGAGGATGAGTTCAAGCCATTCACAGATAGTGGCCCACAGACCACATTTTGAGTAGCACGTATCCAGATCCTGATGTGAGATCAATGGCCACTTCCTGGCCACGTGGTCTTAGGCCAGTCACTGAACGTTTCTGAACTTGGGTTTGTCCGTAAAGTTATTATGTAAAAGCCCGTCTTCCCTTGAGCCCTGTGAATGTTCTCCACGGAGAGAACCCCAGTCAAGGATGCCCACAGCTGTTGACCTTCCTGATGCCTGCAGCGAAACTTCAAGCACCAATGTCGATCCGTGGGGACCAACCCCCCGTGCTTTTGCATAGCGGGTCCGTGTGACTCGCTAGCCATTTCTTTCCCAGTCTGGGCAGTGACTACTTCAGACCTTTTTTTGCGCCTTTCAGACCTCTGGTGCCTCCTCTACCACCTTATTCTTGGTGCCGTCTTGAAGATAAAACTGTTTGAATGAGCTTCGTGCCACAGCATCTGCTGCCTGCCTGCTTCCATGTTCATCCTCTGCTCATCCAAAGCCTGTCGTCTGCCTGCATCTAGGTTCCTTCTCCCGCCTTCTGAAGCACCTTCCACTTACAGTGAAGTGTCTTCAGTCACCGGGCCCTTCCCGGCAGCATATCGATGTGCTGTAGTTGTTGCTCCCACATGCCTAGTCATTGCTAGTCCCATGTGCCCATGTTCACACCCAGCCATTTTTTTTTTTAATATCATTTTATTGGGGGGCTCATACAACTCTTATCACAATCCATCCATCCATACATTGTGTCCAGCACATTTGTACATTTGTTGCCCTCGTCATTCTCAAAACATTTGCTTTCTACTTGAGCCCTTGGTATTAGCTCCTCATTTTCCCCTCCCTCCATAACACCGCCCCCATGAGCCCTTGATAATTTATAAATTATTAGTATTTTGTCATGTTTTATACTGTCCGGTGTCTACCTTCGCCCACTTTTCAGTTGTCTGTCCCCAAGGGAGGGGGTTATATGTAGATCCTTGTGATCAGTTCCCCCTTTCTAGCCCACCTTCGCTCCACCTTCCCGGTATTGCCACTCTCATCACTGGTCCTGAGGGATTCATCTTTCCTGGACTCCCTGTGTTCCCATTTCCTATCTGTACCAGTGTACATCCTGTGGTCTAGCCAGATTTGTAAGGTAGAATTGGGATCATGATAGTTGGGGGAGGAACTAGAGGGGAGGAACTAGAGGAAAGTTGTATGTTTCATCATTGCTACACTGCACCCTGACTGGCTCATCTCCTCCCCGTGACCCTTCTGTAAGGGGATGTCCAATTGTCCACAGATGGGCCCTTGGTCTCCACTCTGCACTCATTCACAATGATATGATTTTTTGTTCTGATGATGCCTGATACCTGATCCCATCGATACCTCATGATCACACAGGCTGGTGTGCTTCTTCCATGTGGGCTTTGTTGCTTCTGCCCTAGATGGCCACTTATTTATCTTCAAGCCTTTAAGACCCCGGAGCCAGCCTTCTTTCTTCTCCCCCTTTAGAGCCAATTGAGAAATCATTAGCCTGGCTCTTTCCTCTTCGTTGCCTTCCATTCTCTTTGCAACCAACTCCCGTCAAGCTTCTGTCTCCTCCCCTCCCTTTGAAATGGTTTCTGCTGAGACCAACAATGATGTCCATGTCCCTAAAGCCAATGGAGTCTTTTCAGTCCTCAGCTGACACGGCTTCTCAGCAGCATTTACTACCACAGCAGACCTTCCTTTTTAGAAGACATTCTCCATGGCCTTGACCCTTGTGTACTCTTTCCCAGTATCCTTTTGTTGAATCTCCACCACCATCTATCAGACCTGAAAGATTAAAGTTCCTCGGGACGGCCCTTGACTCTCTCCTCCTTTTCCCACTACACTCAGTGGAGGCGAATATTCCGTTTGTTCCTGGGCTTTGCTAAAAATGGGAAACACGTGTCTGTCTCTAGCCCAGACTTTCTCTTGCGTGTGATGCATCTATGTCCTGCTGCCTCCTCACCATCCCCAGGTGGACGTGCCACAGCAACCGAACTTACCGTGCCCTGGCTGCACGCATGACGCTTCCTCTGTTCTGAGCCTCGTTTTCACGCAGACTACTTCGTCAGCCCAGTCGCTGGCAGACCACCGCACATCAAAAATAACAGTGCCAGAAATTTGAGGATGGTCTTTGAAAGCATCCTTCCCTCTTCCATCCTAGTCGATGTCCCCCCTTATCCTCCCTCCCACATTGGGACAACACCACAGGCAAGTCACTCTGCTCCCCCAACGTGTCTTCCACTTCTTTCTGCCCTTCGCCAACTGCCCTCATTTCGAACCCCCATCAAAGCCACCATCATCTCTAGCCGGGTCAAGTGCTGCGGTCTCCTAGGCAGTCTCCCTGCGTCTACCGCTGGTCCTCTCCCTACAATCTGGTTAGTACTGAGCACTTGGGGAAAGGGGTTAGAACCTGGTTATGTTCCTACATGTCTGTGAAAAGGCATATTGGCAAAGCCATTTCAAATTGTAATCAACCAGGAGCCATTCAAACGGGCATATCCTTCACCCCAACCCTGCCCACATCCCTCTGTGTCCTCTGTCCCAAGAACGGTTCATACATCCCTGTGAAACCATCATCACCAACCTCAGCCCACAGCCATCGAGTGACCCTCTGGACAGACTAGAACTAGAACTGTTCTTCTGAAGGATTTCAGAGGCTGCGACTCTTCATGGGAACACACAGCTTTATCTTTCTCCCTCAGAGCAGCTGGGAGGTTTGAACCCCCAAGCTTAAGGTTAGCAGCCCAATGTATACTTTGCATTCATATTGTTCACATTCTTTAGAATGAGGATGGATTTGTGGTTTTTTGGCATTAAAAATTTTTTTAAAGATAAAAACAAAACAAGAAAGGGAAAACACCAAAAAACACCAAAACTCTATGGGTTCCCTGTGGTGAAAATTCAAAGCTTTGAACCCGCTGGTTGATAGTGACAGGTGCCTATTGAGTCCACTCTTACTCATGGTGACCCCATGTGTTACCCCAGGGGACTCTGGGCTTCAGTCTTACGGAGGCAGAGTGCCAGTTTCTCCTCTTCAGAGCTGCCGACTGGGTTCCCTGGTAACTTTCAGTTACCATGTAAGTACTTCATCCTGTAGGACCAGGGCTCCTTGGGAAATGGCACCCTCCTGCCTTCCCAGCGCCATCCCTCATCCCTGATCCCTGATCCCTTTGTTCACTGAGCTCCCTCCTGCCTACCCAGCCTCATCCCTCATCCCTCATCCCTTTGTTCACTGAGCTGCCTCCTGCCTACCCAGCCTCATCCCTGATCCCTTGATCCCTTTGTTCACTCCACTTGATACTCTTTCAGTTCCTCAGATGGGCCAGGTGTACCCCACATAGGTTGTTTCCTCTGTCTAACCCCACACCCTCCACCCATTTGTCTGGCCGAACCTAGCCATGCCGGAGGAGTTTTCCCTGACCACCTCTGACCAGATTGGGTCTTACCTCACCTGATGTCCTTTGAGTTTCCTTCACTCCTTGATCATAGTTGCCATCAAATGTGTGAATGCGTGTTTCATGTCGTGAAGTATGTGAATGTGTTCCCCTTGTCTGTCTCTCTGTCTGGACAGGGACAGTTGCCTTGTTCACTGCTGTGCTGGCAGCTGCTCCCTCCATGATACGTGATCATGTTTCATGGCTTCTCCAGTGCACGATAGACTCCAGACAGCCAGTGGCATGAATGACGTTTTCTAGCTCATCTACATCAAAGGACATTCTGGTCACATGATTGTTTTAGAGGGTGGTATCCAACAGCCGCCACGTGTATGGTACCCTAATTACTACAGCAACTTCAATGAACTTTGTTACCCAATTGTAACTTGGGGGCGTTAATACATCTATGAGTATTTTTGCCGCAAAGAGCTGCAGCATGAGTAATGGCTGCTGCTTTCAGTGCCCTGGTTTCCATCCTAACTCCTCTCCAGTGGGGAGGGTCCCCACGAAAGCGGGCTCTGACATCCTCCGCTGGCAACCAATCCCAAGATTGGTTTATTTTGATTGACATGGGCGTGAGTGAGCTCGTATTGCTGTATCTCAGTTCGTGCATTGTTCATAAGAGCCAACTTTTTTTTAAATAATCCTGAAGCAGCGCTGTAGTGCAGTAGGGGTGCACTGTTGTAAGCGTGTCGTTTTTCTAAAACAGGCAGACGAAGCATATTGCATTGGCCCTGCTCCCTCCCAGCAGAGCTACCTCGCTATGGAGAACATCATCCACGTGGCCAAGATCTCCGCTGCACAGGTAAGCATTGTGACAGCAGTTATACAACGAGTGTGGCCTACGCCTCTGTACTTTGTAGAAGATTCCTAATTACTCCTAGAAATGCATTATTTTTCAACACCTAGCCCACTTAGAACACTTTTCCTTTGATACAAGTTCACAATTGAAGAAGTTCCAACACCCAAGTGTTTGGGGTTTTGTTTGTTTGTTGGCACGGATGTGGTAAAGAATCAAACTTTACCCAAGGAATTTAGCTTTTGTCTTTGCTTCCTGTGAAAGTTATCTTCTAAAGCCTCAGAATTTCCCCAAGAGCAGAAGTGACTGAGACCTAGGTGTGGGTTTCTCATCCCCAAGATTTTCCCATTTGCTTCTTGGGATGTCATCTGAGCGGAGGCATAGCCCTTCCGTTCCTCCACCACTCTGCCTTCCTCCCGACTCCTTGACTCTGCACTCGAGATCTTTGGGGAAACAGATGGGGGAGGCTCTCAAGGATATGTTGAAATTAAGAGAGAACTCAATTCAACCTTTCTACCTTCAAATGCAGATCCTAGGACCATCTGGTAATTTGGGGGAAATAGAGGCAAGCTAAACTATAAGGTAAACTAAAACCAAGAGAGAAATCTCTCTCCTTCCCAGTTTCTCGCAAAGGACCCTACTCCCTGTTTTTGGTTTTTAGTACCCTAGCTTTAAAAAAAGATGTTATTATATCTCTCCTTGATTCTTATAAAGCAATGAGGAACCAACTTGTGTTAAATCATTCTTTGAATTATCTTCAGAAATGGTCCTTTTAATTTTTTTAAAATCAGACCATCAGACCCTTATGATCTGTCTCTTAGGTGGATGTTTATAGCTGGATTTTCAATTTCTAAATCCTTACCTATTTGACCATTTTTTTCTTTTCTTTTAAAAAAAAATCAATTTATTGGGGGCTCGTACAACTCTTATCACAATCCATACATCCATCCATTGTGTCAAGCACACTTGTACATTTGTTGCCAGCATCATTTTCAAAACATTTTCTTTCTACTTGAGCACTTGGTATCAGCTTCTCATTTTATCTCTCCCTCCCTCATGAACCCTTGACAATTTATAAATTATTATTATTTCTTCATGTCTTATACTGACCTATGTCTTCCTTCACCCACTTTTCTGTTGTCCATCCCCCAGGGGGGGTTATAGGTAGATCATTATGATTGGTTCCCCCCCCCTTCCCCTCCTGGTACAGCTACTCTCATTATTGGTCCTGAGGGGTTTATCTGTTCTGGATTCCCTGTGTTTCCAGCTCTTATCTGTACTAGTGTACATGCTCTGGTCTAGCTGGATTTGTAAGGTAGAATTGGGATCATGATAGTGGGGGAGCATTAAAGAACTAGAGGAAAGTTGTATGTTTTATCGGCGCTATGTTGTACCCTGACTGACTCGTCTCCTCCTTGTGACCCTTCTGTGAGGGGATGTCCAATTGCCTACAGATGGGCTTTGGGTCTCCACTCTGCACTCTCCTCATTCACAATGATACGATTTTGTGTTCTGGGTCTTTGATGCCTGATACCTGATCCTGTCGACACCTCGTGATCACACAGGCTGGTGTGCTTCTTCCATGTGGGCATTGTTGCTTCTGAGCTAGATGGCCACTTGTTTATCTTCAAGCCTTTAAGAACCCAGACCCTATTTCTTTTGATAGCTGGGCTTTCTTCACCACATTTATTTATGTAACCGCTTTGTCTTCATCTATCGTGTCGGGAAGGTGAGCACCATGCAATGCCAGGTTAATAGAACAAAGTGTTCTTGTATTGAGAGAGTACTTGAGTGGAGGCCCAATGTCCATCTGCTACCTTAATACTATAAATCTATACATATATTCACATAGATCTAGTTCCCCATCGTCATATATAAATATGCTTACATATGTGCATGCCCTATCTGACCATTTCTATATGCAATTAGATGACTATTTCATAAGTATGAGTGTCATGATTATCTTTGCTGTTTGTTTGTTTGATGCCGCTCCATTTCCCTAGTGTCTCTATTATTGCTGATGTCAGATGGATCTTTGCTGAAAGCAGAGAATACCACCCAGATGTTTGTTTGTGTTTTATTGATGATGCAAGGACAGAAGTCAAGGAGCTAGGCCCAATGAAGAAGACCACGGCAGCAGGATTGAAGGAAGGTTTTAGTAACTTGCGATGTGCAGGTGCCTCAACTGTGCTTCCTGAAAGCAGAGAGAACTTGAAGCAGTTGCTGAAAATCAAAGACCAAAGCTTTTGATGTCGATTAAAACTCACTGTAAAGCAGCAGTTCTCAACCTGTGGGTCGCGACCCCATTGGGGGTGGGTTGGTCGAACGACCCTTTCACAGGGGTTGCCCAATTCATCACAGTAGCAAAATCATAGTTATGAAGTAGCAACGAAAATAATTTTATGGTTGGGGGGGGGGGGCGTCACCACAACATGAGGAACTGTATTAAAGGGTCACGGCATTAGGAAGATTGAGAACCACTGCTATAAAGAAAGCAAAAATTGACACAACAGCATCCGTAAACAAGATCATGATCAACGGAGAAAAGAGGGACGTTGTCAAGGATTTGATTTTCCTTGGAGCCATACTCAACACTCGTAGAAGTGACAGTCAAGAGATCAAATGACCTGCGACATTGGGCAGATGTGTTGCAAAAAAAAAAATTCTTTAAAGTCTTAAAGAACTAAGGTCCCCCTTTGGGGACTAAGGTGTTCCTGCCTGAAGCCAGAGTATTTTTAATCCCCTCTTCCACCTATCAGAGTGGACAGTGGATAAGAAGACCAGAAAATAATGAATATATTTGCAGTGTAATGTGGGCCAGGAATATGGAAAGTACTGCAGACTGCCCGAAGAAAAACTGATTCTGCCTTGCTCTGTGCTAGTGAGGACGGTGAGATTTTTTTCTCAGGGACTTTGGATACTTTGTCAGAAGGCCATTGTGTTGGCAAAGGGGAGGGCCAGCCGAAAGGAGGAGGCCCGTTATCGAGATGGGATGATGCAGTGCCTGTGACAAGAGATGCAAACGTGGCGATGATGGTGAGGATGGCTCAGGATGGGGTGGTCCATTATTCTCTCGGACGTGGGGTCACTCTGAGTTGGTGGTCCATTATTCTCTCGGACTTGGGGTCACTCTGAGTTGGAACCCACGAGATGGCACTTAACAATAACAACCACATCCCTCAATTGACACAGCTTCGTGGTTAGCCTGCCATTTAGAAATTTCTAAAATGTTCCCATTCTGATTGTCAAAACACATTTCTCGCTGCTAGTTCTTCAGTATAGCCAGAGGGGACTTTTCCTCCGTCTCCTTGATGTACCATACTGATTTCTTCTGCTCATTTGCTCATGGTATTCTGCCTGCCTGTAATGCTCTCTTTCCCCTTCTCGGTCATTCATGCGTTTATTCCCCCAACAAACATTAACTGGTCTCCTGCGTTGTGCCAGCTCCTGAACTTGACTCCAACAGGGACTCAGAGACACAGTCCCCTCCCTTAGGGAGCTACACGTGGATGGTGAACCAGAAAATCTCCCTTGAAACAGAAACAAGGCAACTCAGAGACTGATACGTGGTGGGAAGAAAATACGGCAGGATTAGGGGATGGAGAACAACTAGTTGGGAGGTGCTTTTAAATGGCGAGCCCAAGGAGGCCCACCCGAGGGGTGACAATTGAAGAAAGGCCGAAATGAGGAGGATGAACCAACCATGCAAGGCACTCAGGGAAAATGTTCGGGCTGACAGAACTGCCGAAGCTCTGGGGTGAAAACCTCTTGGAGAGCTCAAGGGATGCAAAACCTACAGTGCCAAGGTGAAGGCAGTGAACGACCATGCTCTCAGGGTTCAGGTCAAACACTGAAATTCCACGAGGTATTTTTTCAACGGGGAATTTAATACAGGAGTTAGTGACCTCAGTTCTAAGAGCAAAACAACAACAACAACAAATTACCCTATTAATAACTGCAGAGATGACAACCTGTGCCCTCCGGCTAGAGAAGAGGCTGGAGCAGCTCAGTCCTGAGACGAGGCAGTCTCCTCGGCTGTTGCTCAGGGCTCTGCAGTGGGGTCTTCCTGGGGGTGCTGGCACCTAAAGGCCACAGCAAGGCCACTTCTAGGAGTCCGTGCTTGGTTCTCTGTGCATTGGGTCACCGTGAATCAGAACCACCTGGATGCCACCTCACTACACTAACCCCAACAATGCCTATATTGTTGGTGCCGTGTGGTGCAGTGCGTAAGTGCTTGGCTGCTAACTAAAAGGTTGGCAGTTTGAACCTGCCTAGCAGAGAGAGGCTCAAGGTCCTGGCAAGTTGCTTCAGCAAAGATCACAGCCCAGAAAACTCTATGGGTGGTTTTATTCTCTCACACAGGGTCTTTTGAGTCAGACTGGACTCAGGGGCATCCACCCAGAACAATGGCAGGCCTGCGCTGAACCTACAAGATGTCATAGTATGCATGTCCCTCGATGGGAGGTAGCCGTCAAGTCTGGCAGCAGATCGGAATCCCCCAAGGAGCCTTGCCACGACACTAATGATGGGTGCGTGTGCTGCAATAACTAGGGCCTGCTGGAATCCTGGTACTGCTCTGTGTCTCGATCTGAGTCTATTCAGTGTATGAAAATGAAGCACATGGAGTTCTATGCCTGTTCAATGTGTGTGCTGTGCTATAGGTTTATTTTATTTTGATAAAATGTTTGCTTTGGCCATGGCCCCTCAGTGATGGTGTTAGCTTCTGAGGCTGCCTGCCTTGTAGAAGTGTCCCGTCTCCACCCCGCGCCCCCCAGCCTTTTTTTGTTTAACCTGGCCTCCAGGAAGAGAGGCTTTTGACTCCCATTGTTTCAACATCACTGACAAGTATCATCACGCATGTAGCAAGCTATTTCACTAACTACAGGCAGTCTGTGTGGTGGCCCAAAAGGAAACCCATACTCTAAGCCTGGCAGCTGTGGGGAGGAAATTCCTGGTTCAAAGAATTTAACGAGTCTGGCTTTATCCTCTCCACTCTGGAAAGGGCA